TTATATTAATACATCTATATTATTACACAAGTATACATGTACTTATACGTAAGTTTTTAAGAATCAAAATACTGATCTCACGTACCAAAGAATAATACTATAATAATGACAAAGTTTTCTCCATGCATGGTTTTTACATGGTTATGTTACTAACCACAGGTACATTAGGTAAATAATGTAAAAGACTACCAATTTTATACAGTCATTTAGAGCCAAGACAAAAACTGTTTCTGCAAACAGCTTGAGAGATAAACTAATCACTGGACAGTGAAAGGGACACAAGTACATAAAAAACTCTTCTAAAGTCAAATGAATTTTATATGTTGAAATGGATACTATTTTTCAATGTAAAAGATTCATAATTTTCATTTTAAGTAGCCTAGAAAAGAAGGTGTCAGAAAAGTTTGCCTACAGAAAAGAAAAAAAAAAGTGGGGGAAGTGGGGGGTAATATGAGAGAGTCAACTAACATCTGGATAATTTTTGTTTTATTTGTTTACAGAATATTACACCTATTTGAAATTAGCTAATATCAGAGAAATGAGATATCTATACAGACCACTAGGCTGACTCTACACACATTGTCTTATGCAATGCAACTGGCCAAACATAACTTTCCCTGATCCAGTCAGATTCCCTGGCTCTCAGCACAGTCTTCAACAGTCTCTTTCTCTAAAAGAGAAACTTCAAACTTTGTTTACGCCTCCTCCCAAAGAAGGCTAAAAACCTATAAAATCCCTTCAAATATTTTAAAGATTTTAAAATATCTTAATATTTTAAATATGGTATTTTAAATATCATTTTTCATCATAAGTTTAAAATGTTACAAAGGATGTAATTTCCAGAGCATTAAATACTGATCTTCACAAATAAAAGTCACATATTCTATTAAATATACTCCATCCAAAAAAATTTCACAAAATTGTGTTTGCAATAATTAAAAAAAACAAAAAACTGCAAAAAGCCTTAGTTCCAATAGTAAAATAAATAAATCATATAAACCCATTCTATGGAATATTAAGCAGGAATTTTAAATAATGACGTACAGAATGGGACTAGAGAGACAGTTTCAAGGACAGTCTTTGCTTTGTCTATATTGCTTGAACTTTATAACATAAAATACATGCACTAATCAAGTAATCAATTTTTTTTTAAAGAAGACAGTAACAGCATTTCTACTTCAATACCAAGTATGAACAACTCTCACAGAGGAAATCACTTACTTCATCAATAAAGGCTTGCTCCGGTTCTGGCTCTATTGTTTCTACTTGAACATCATCACTAAATTGTACCGTCTTCTTCTCTGTTTTAACTGTAAAACATGTAATATTTATCTTTTCCTTATAATAAACTTAAAATTCTATTCTAAAGCACTTTAAACTGCATGAGAGAATTTGGATTTTTCTTTTATTCCCTTCAATCTGAGAGACTCAATTTAAGGAATAAACTACAGATTTAGGCAATAATGAGAGAACATTATTTTATGGAATTCTGGGAAGATTTCTTAATTTTCTCTTAAGATTTTACATTTTCCATAAAAGATACTTCACTAAAAATAAGAGGTATATTTCTGAAACAAAGATTAATTACCTACTACATATGAGAGTTTAGTAAATTGGACAAAAAGTAGTTTTACAAGGACAAAAATGAACTCTACAAATTAAGTCCTCTTTTAAATTACCAGTCCCTTCAAAGAAAAATCTCATTTGAAAGACCATGCTATTTCAATGTAGTGAAATGGAAAGTCAGCTATATATGTTCTCTGGCAAGCTACCCAGACTTTTTACTAGGAGAATGACATCTAGCTCAACGGAGAACTTTACAAGTGCCATGGGCAATGATATGAATTTTCCACTAAATCAGCCCGCATTTTTTAGTTCCATTATTCTTTGAAATAAAAATGTGGTTATGAAGGGATCTGCAAACCACTGGCCAGAAGCACATATTTCTGTTGCTTAACAAAGCAATCTTTAAAAACTATTCAATATATCATTAACTAGTAAATATAAGGTTATGATTAATAGAGCAATTAACCTTCTCCCCCAATATACTGAGAGACTCATACGACTTTAAAGGAATGGACTTCCTTTCTGCATTTCTCATCCTTGTACCAATGTGGTTAATCAGTATGCATAAAAATATTAAGAATCAAGATGAAAAGGGCTTTGGGAACGGAGCAGAATTACGGAAAGGAAATATATTAATTAAACTATTAAATGTGCATAATAGAATATTACATATCCTCCCAAATGAATCTCTTCTACCATTTTAAAAATGAGGTTAACAGCAGCACAGTAATATTAAAAACGCTTGTGCAGGAAAAAGCTAATATACGACACTGCCTGGATTTAAATACGAATCTATCTGGTGCTACTAGCCCACATACTGAAATCTGGCTGATGATTTTTTACTCTGAGAACAGGAACTCATACCACTTATGTATTTGGTGCTGTAAGCTTCTGTATAAAAATGTAGATAATTTAATTTCCATTCATCCCATTCAAATCACCATAAAGCAAAATTCTATACACACACGAAAGTTTCAGCTGATTTTATTTTCTCATGGGGGTAAAAGAGACATGTGCTAGAGATATTTCTGCTTTTTATATCTTGAGCTGTTAACAAGTAGAGAGCTGGGAAAGCACCACATTGGCTGCTACCCATAAGAGAACACATCCTAACAGATGACCATGCACAAGTTTTCAGTGCTTTTTCTCAAAGGCACTATTACCAAATATGCATGCGTGCATGCATGCGTGTGTGCGTGTGTGTGTGTGCATGTACACAAAATAAACTGTTTTCACAGTATCTTCCTACACTTCCAAAAGAAAAACAAGCCAAGCAGGGCAGGTACTTGTACAGGACATTAAGTAAAGTGGGCTTCTGCTATGAAAAGGTGCCTGGGTGGCTCAGGTGGTTAAGCATCTGCCTTTGGTTCAGATCATGATCCCCGAGTCCCAGGATGGAGCCCCACACCAGGCTCCTTGCTCAGTGGGGAGTCTGGTTCTCCCTCCGACCCTCCCCTCTCTCATGTTCTCTCTCTCAAATAAAGAAATCTTAAAAAAAAAAAAAAAGAAGAAGAAGAAGAGGAATGCTAAGAAGATCATGCTAACACTCATTTCCCAAGCTCAAGAACTACAATTCCATTATAGAAGCTCTCCTGTTCCTGCTCTTCTTTTCAGTAGTCCAGAGTGAAACAGAGGAAGAAGAGCTAGAATACTCATTTTAAAGTTGCATTGCTATATGATGGGGAAAAAGAGGAGATGGCTACATGATCCATATGAGATCCTGGATTTCACCATGAACAGAAGTCCAAGACAATTCCATCTTTTCCAATAGCTTATTGAGGACAAAACAAAAACAAAAAACCCAAACCTCAAAAAAAAAAAAAAAGAAAGAAAGAAAAAAATCACCACCATAAGCCCAGGTTAAAAAATTGGCACCGAATACATTGCCATTTATTTTTTTTTATTTTTATTTTTTAAAGATTTTATTTATTTATTTATTCATGAGAGACAGAGGGAGAGAGAGAGAGAGAGAAGCAGAGGGAGAAACAGGCTCCCAAGGAGCAGGGAGCCCGATGCGGGACTCGATCCCAGGACTCTGGGATCATGACCTGAGCCGAAGGCAGATGCTTAACCATCTGAGCCACCCAGGCGCCCGAATACATTGCCATTTAAAAACTGTTCTACGATGTATTTTTTCAGTTCTAACAAAAAAGGACTCCATTACTAGAATGGGTATCAGGACTCTGTCTCTGTCATAAATCGGTCATAAAATGACATGAGACAACTTGGCAATAATTGGGAGACAGCTTTGTTTCATCAAAGTAATGTCCGATTTGTTGTTAAAGCCTTCTCTTGAAAGAGAAGTGTTCTTATTCCAGGAAAAGTGTATCTTTTACATATATATGTGTATGTTTACATATATATAGATATGTAAACATACACATATGTATGTACCATTTATTGTATAAATATTTAAATAGCCTGTATTCTGGGTAAGATTCAGTACTACGTGCTGTTGGAAACAAAAAAAAATGAAAAGATGACTAAGACAAAGATCCTTTCTTAAAATTCTTATAAACTAAAAAAGACCTAAGCATCCTGTAGCTTATAACTCTCTTTGATACCTTCTACTGGCATTATAGAAAGATGAGATGAGGTGAGATATTTTGCCAGATAACTATAGCTTACCAGTTTATATACACAAACTCTTAAAATTCTAAACCTTCCAACCACTAATGGAAATCTTTCTACACTAGAACATATTTCTGTTTCCTTAAACAAAGGGAGATTATGACTTTATCTTGATGACCCAAACTCATCATTATGAAGATCAGTGAAGTGTAGTATTATGTAGAAATATAGTGAACTGCCTACCAACAGTTTTTGGTAGGTTACAAGTAGTTACATCTCCTGCAACTATTATGCCTACCAGACACATCACTTTTCCTCTTGGGCCCTACTTTCTAGTTTATTTCCCCAAGTAGCACATACTTGGAAACCAAACAAAAAGGTATTCACATGATCAGTTACGGTTCCTTCTGACTCTCTGACATGGGGGCTTAGGTAAGCCATTATACTGCTTACAGGCCACTGCTTCCAAGTTTGGGACTAGACACTAAAGAAATGGTCTCAATCTTAGAACAGAAAGAATTCTCTATGAGAGTACACTGTATTTGTCATACTTGATCAACTGATAATGAAAATACATAGTGCATAAATTTCCTAACACTTCTTAATCTTCAGTTTTATAATGCTATAAATCTAGTATTTTTAAAGAAAAGTCCACAGTCTGCCCAATTATCCAATTAGAAATAATCTTGGTAGACAGATAATTTCAATCTGTAGATAATTAGGTGATTTCTGGTAAATAATCTACTGACTAGGAAGCTGCATTTTTTTCTTTTTAAATTTTTATTTAAATTCCAGTTAGTTAACATACAGTGCAATAATGATTTCAGGAGTATAATTTAGTGATTCATCACTACATACAATACAAAAACATGGAACACTTCATAACGTGCGTGTCACCCTTGCACGGGGACCACGGTAATCTTGTCTGTATCACTCCAATCTTAGTGTATGTGCTGCTGAAGTGAGCACGCAAGCTGCATTCTTAACAAACACTTTGGCGGCACTAACATCTGAGAGTCCCAGCTCAGCTTGTAACTTTCCATGAAGTTGAATTTACTCTTTTATTAAGAAGACAGTTGTGGATTATCATGCACTTAAAAGAATGGAAAATACTTACTCATTTCTGGTTCAGCAGTAAGATCAGCAGTCACAAAATTAGAGGGAAATAACCCCATGCCTTGATGGGTTTCACCTTTCCACCAGTTGGGATCACTAATGAGGAGCAAAAAAGAATGCTTGACTATAATATTTTCATCTCTATATATCTCTCAACCTTTTACAATGTTTAACTTGAATTATTACCAGATTTGAACCCCCCAACAATCCAATGAGGGAAGAAATGAATGTACCATTATTACAAATAGAAGATGAAGGCTCAGAGAAGATAAAGAGGTGTTAAATACACAGCTCTTTATCTTTTGGAGGGCTGGTGAACGCTTTGAGGATGTAATACAAGGTTCTGAACTCACTCCCCAAAACAGAGATCTCTTCAACTTCAGGTAGTTCATGGTCTCCCTGTAAGGCTCCTTTGTAGTAAGGTAATAGTAGGCTCTTAATTCAGATCCATTCCTAAATTAGTGCGCTCTCTTGTTGACACTAGCACCTTTCTCCCCCACAAGAAATAACATGACAGATGACACTGTTTATAGCACAAAATGTTCAAAATGAACACACACTCAGATACATCCCATGGTTCACCACTGTATCTGTGGTATACGTATAAGGAAAGCTGGCAAGCTCTCAATGAACATTTTTTGAATGAATCAATCAATGGTCAAGGTTTTGTGCAATTTCAAGCTAAACAGCTCAAACTTTACTTCATTTTCTTTCAGTCAAGAAAACAATGTAACTGTGCTACTATAGGAATAACCTAAATTTTTTTTGAATTTATTTTTTAAAACCACCTGCAAATTTTAGTACTTCATTATCAGCGACAATCATCAGTAACAAATTTTGAGTAAACACAAAACCCAGATGTACTTAGAGGAAACAAATTGAGGGTTGCTGGAGGGTGGGGGGAGTGTGGGGGGATAGGGTAATTGGGTGATGGACATTAAAGAGGGCATAGGATGTAATCAGCACTGGGTATTATATAAGACAGATGAATCACTGAACTCTACCTCTGAAACTAGTGATACACTATATGTTAATTAATTGAATTTAAAATAAAAACAAGGGGGGAGGGGCAAGATGGCGGAGGAGTAGGAGACCTGGATTTTGTCTGGTTTCAGGAATTCAGCTGGATAGGGATCAAACCATTCTGAACACCTACGAACTCAACAGGAGATCGAAGACAAGAATGGCAACAACTCTCTGAACAGAAAAGCAACCACTTTCTGGAAGGTAAGAAGTGCGGAGAAGTGAATCGGAGGCAATATTCGGGGGATAGACGGCGGGGGAGGGAGCCTCCGTTGCCGCTTCTGGCAAGTGCTAGAGCCGTGGAGCACAAAATTGGAACTTTTAGAAGTCGGCTCCACTGAGGGACGTCGCTCCAGTGGCTAAGCGGGGGGTGGAACCCTCGTGGGACAGTGTGGTCTCAGGACCCTTGGGGTCACAGAAAGACCAGGGGTGCCTGAGTTCAGCAGCGCTCCCAGGTATCGGAGCGGGGAAGCCGGCTGAAGAGACGGAGCTGGGGAGCAGGCTCTCAGCTCTGGGGTTGCCATAAACTGTGATCCGCGGCCCAGTCGGGCCACTGCTCCTCCAGCAGGGACCCAACAAGCAGCAGATCTGGGGACACTCCCCTTCCTCCCCTGGGAGGAGCGGCGTGGGAGCGCACCGCAGGGATCTGCTGGGTTTGGAGACTCCAAACAGGGTCGGGTGCCAGAGATAGAAATGCTCGGTCACAGGCCGGGTGAGCACGGAGTGTGGCCAGAGACCGGGGAGACAGGTCTGACTGACAGCTTTTCTCTGGGGGCGCACTGAGGACTGGGGCCCTGAGTTCTCGGCTCCTCCGGGCAGAGATTGGAAGGCTGCCATTTTCACTCTCCTCCGCCAAAGCTGTACCGAGAGCTTGCAGGGAACAAAAGCTCCTGAGAGCAAACCCGAGCAGATTACTCAGCCTGGACCAGGAAAGGGCGGGGCAATTTCGCCTCCAGCAAAGACATTTAGGAACCACGGCAAAAGGCCCCTCCCGCAGAAGATCAGCAAGAACAGCCAGCCAAGACCAAGTTTACCGATCAATGAGAACAGCAGAACTCCAGTGCTAGGGGAATACTGCACATAGAATTCACAGCTTTTTTACCATGATTCTTTAGTCTTTCAAAATTAATTTTTTTTAACTTTTTAAAAAATTTTTCTTTTTCCCTTTTTCAACCAACATCTTACCAATCCTTTTAAAAAACATTTTTATTTTTCATTTTTAGAGTCATATTCTATCCCTTCATAATAGTTACCTTTATTTTTGGAATATATATATGTTGTTCTCTCTGTAAAATTTTGAGATACAGTTTCTTCTAACAGATCAAAATATATCCTAAGTCTCTAGTGTATGGCTTTGTTCCAGTCTCCTGCCTGATCACATTCTCTCCCCCTTTTTTTTTTAAATCCTCTTCTATCTTTTTTGAAACAACTTCTTATCAATTCTTTATACAATATTTTATAATTTTCATCTTTACAGTCATATTCCATCCCTTCATTGTATCAACCCTTATTTTTGTACATACATAAGTTTTTCTTTCTTTAAAATTTTGGGAGGAACTTTCTTCTAACAGACCAAAATACACCCAAAATCTAGTGTGTGGCACTGACCTATGCACCAGCCTGATCATATTAGATTATATTCTGTTTTTTTCTTTTGTTTTGTTCTGTTTTTGTTTATCTTTTTCTTTTTTCTTTCTTCCCCTTTCTTTTCCCCTGATTTCAGGTCTTTTCTGATTTGCTTACAATATATTTTATGGAGACGTTGTTACCCTGTTAGCATTTTGTTCTCTCATTCATCTATTCTCCTCTGGACAAAATGACAAGATGGAAAAAATCACCTCAACAAAAAGAAAAACAGGTAGTACCGACTGCCAGGGACCTACGCAATATGGACATTAGTACGATGTCAGACCTAAAGTTCAGAATGATGATTTTAAAGATACCAGCTGGGCTTGAAAAAAGGATGGAAGTCAATAGAGAAACACTTTCTGGAAAAATACAAGAACTATAATCTAACCAAGTTGAAATCAAAAAGGATATTAATGAGGTGCAATCAAAAATATGGGCACTAACTCCTAGGATAAATGAGGCAGAAGACAGAATCAGTGATATAGAAGACTAAATGATGGAAAATAAAGAAGCTGAGAAAAAGGGAGATAAACAACTCCTGGATCACAAGGGCAGAATTCGAGATACAAGCAATACCATAAGACGAAACAACATTAGAATAATTGGGATCCCAGAAGAAGAAGAAAGAGAGAGAGGGGCAGAAGGTATATTGCAGCAAATTATAGCAGAGAACTTCTCTAATGTGGGGAAGGAAACAAGCATCAAAATCCAGGAGGCACAGAGAACCCTTCTCAAGCAATAAAAATAGGTCAACACCCCAACATCTAAGAGTAAAACTTACAAGTCTCAGAAACAAAGAGAAAATCCTGAAAGCAGCTTGGGAGAAAAGATATGTAACCTACAATGGGAGAAACATTAGATTGGCAAAGGACCTATCCACAGAGACCTGGCAGGCCAGAAATGACTGGCATGATATATTCAGAGCACTAAACGAGAAAAATATGCAGCCAAGAATACTATACCCAGCTAGCCTGTCATTGAAAATAGAAGGAGAGATAAAAAGCTTCCAGGGCAAACAAAAACTAAAGTAATTTGCAAACACGAAATCAGCCCTACAAGAAATATTCAAAGGGGTCCTCTAAGCAAAGAGAGAACCTAAAAGCAGCATAGACCAGAAAGGAACACAGACAATATACAGTAACAGTCACCTTACAGGCAATACAATGGCACTAAATTCATATCTTTCAATAGTTTCCCTGAATGTAAATGGGCTAAATGCCCCAATCAAAAGACAAAGGCTATCAGATTGGATTAAAAAACAAGACCCATCGATATGCTGTCTGCAAGAGACTCATTTCAGACCCAAAGACATACCCAGATTGAAAGTGAGGGGGTGGAAAACCATTTACCATGCTAATGGACACCAAAAGAAAGCTGGGGTGGCAATCCTTATATCAGAAAATTAGATTTTAAACCAAAGACTCTAATAAGAGATGAGGAAGGACACTATATCCTATCCAACAAGAAGATCTAACAATTGTAAATATCTATGCCCCTCACATGGGAGCAGCCAATTATATAAGGCAATTAATAACAAAAGCAAAGAAACAAATCGACAACAATACAATAATAGTGGGGGACTGTAACACCCCCCTCACTGAAATGGACAGATCATCTAAGCAAACGATCAACAAGGAAATAAAGACTTTAAATGACACACTGGACCAAATGGACTTCACAGACATATTCAGAACATTCCATCCCAAAGCAACGGAATACACATCCTTCTCTAGTGCCCATGGAATATTCTCCAGAATAGATCACATCCTAGGTCACAAATCAGGTCTCAACCGGTACCAAAAGACTGGGATTATTCCCTGCATATTTTCAGACCACAATGCTTTGAAACTAGAACTCAATCACAAGAGGAAAGTCGGAAAGAACTCAAATACATGGAGGCTAAAGAGCATCCGACTAAAGAATGAATGGGTCAATCAGGAAATTAAAGAAGAATTTAAAAAATTCATGGAAAGAAATGAAAATGAAAACACAACTGTTCAAAATCTTTGGGATGCAGCAAAGGCAGTCCTAAGAGGAAAGTATATAGCAATATAAGCCTTTCTCAAGAAACAAGAAAGGTCTCAAATACACAACCTAACCCTACACCTAAAGGAGCTAGAGAAAGAACAGCAAATAAAGCCTAAACCCAGCAGGAGAAGAGAAATAATAAAGATCAGAGCAGAAATCAACAAAATAGAAAC